GGGCATTTATATAATTTTTTCTTCTTTCCTTAGAAATGAATTATGTACATTAAATGACTCATTGTGCTAATACTTTTTTATTCATTTACTTTCAAAGAAGAGAAAGACTTGAGCATAATGGGCCGTGTGCTAGTCACAGTCATGGCCGGAGTCTCTTTGAGTGAGAGACAGAGCGAGGGTAAGATAGTTTTCAGCAGTAACTTTCAGCATGAAAAGAAGAGGTAGCTGCCCCTAGAGATGCATGGCGAAAGCTTGTTCTAACACCTTTGATTCTCACTGATGACAGAATGATATCAGATGCTTGCAACTAACATGATATGTGCTTTCCCTTAGAAGGGTTCTCCAAGTACACATGTTTATACATACAGAGATACATGCCGATATTATATGTATGTATATATATATGTAAATATTTACACATACACACACACACACACACACACACACACACACACACACACCACACACACACACACACACACACACAACACACACACACACACAACACACAACACACACACACACACACACAAAACACACACACACACACACACACACAAAACACACATATATGTATATATGTATATATATATGTGTGTGTGTGTGTGTGTGTGTGTGTGGTGTGTGTGTGTGTGTGTGTGTGTGTGTGTGTGTGTGTGTGTGTGTGTGTGTGTGTGTTGTGTGTTTGTGTGTGTGTGTTGTGTGTGTGTTGTGTGTGTGTGTGTGTGTGTCTGTGTCTGTGTGTGTGTCTGTATGTACATATACATATATACACACACAACACACACATATATTATATATATATATATATATATATATATATATATATATATATATATTATATATATATATATATATGTATATATATATGTATTATGAATATGTATATTATATATATACATACATATGTATCTATGTATACATATAATATATATATATATATATATATATATATACTATTATAATATATATATACATATTATATATATCATATATATATATATATATACATATAACATTATATATATCATTATATATATATATATATATATTATTATATATATATACATATATTATATATACATATATACATATATATATACATATATCATATATACATATTATACATATATACATATATATATATCATTATTATATATATATATATATANGAGAGAGAGAGAGAGAGAGAGAGAGATGAGGAGCTTCCATCTCACCTTCACCATTGTTGACAAAGTGCCATCTCCTGGCGCCGAGGTCCATAGAAGCACAAAATCAAAATAAAATCACACGAGGTACCATTTGCTTGTCCCCTTTCCTGACTTGAAAGCAAATTCTTACATCCACCGGAAGATTCGTTATGATCTTTTGGTGCCAACAAGCAGGAGTGCCAACGAGGTGATCGCCCTTCGGTGCCGACGTGATGACTTGGGGCGATATACACTCTCTGTGGCACTCTCGCCCACCCCCTCTCGCGGTGTCCCCCTCCCTCCCCTCCCTCCCCTCCCGCGCTCTCACCAGGGCTCAGGAAGTTTTTATCTCGAACCTTGATAGTTGAAAGGAGTGCCACGAAAATCAGTCCCGCCCGTGAGACTTTGTGAGAGCGCTTATCGTCCTCCGAGTGTCGTCATTACCCAAGGCACTTCCGATCCGATACCGGCGAAGTCGACGTTCCCCCAAAACTTTAATCAATTGCTTTAAGAAAAAAAGAAACTTCAACTGAGTATATCTTTTATCCTCCAACCGGGTAAGTCTTGTATGCCATATGTGGCAACGGCGCACGAACACCTGTGTCGGCTGGGTAATACTTGCGCCGGGAGGGAACACCTGTGACAGGTAGACTGACCCGGGCCCATCCACCAACAGGCCCCTCCCCCCTCCCTGAACCGCCCCTCGCGCCTAACACGTCCAAAAATTATATTTCATCAATCGGAAGTATGACAGAAGGGCAAAGAGAGATTGGCGACGCAAATCTGTGACACCAATGTAGGCTAGCTAATTTGCAGATGTACGTTCAGAGAGTCCAAAATATCTTGTTGAAAGTAATTAATCAATAAAACAAGAAATATCACTTAAACTTTACACCTAAATAACATGATCTCGGTGAACCCGACTCCAGTCTCAGCTTTAGGCAACTGGAATATATTAATCTCACTATATAATAATATAGGTCTAGCAATGAAAAATCACTTTGGTAGCTATGGTGACGTGAGGAGGTATAAAACAGATGTGTCGCACCTGTAAAGTAATGATACTGTAACGTGACCCATATTACATGAGTCATTAAGACTGGTTTTTGGGTGAAATCGGGTACGTATAAAATCAGAAAATAAGTACCAGAGTAATAGTCGCTCGGATATTATATTGTAAAAAAAATCAAAGGGTAATGCCCTGTAGAAGAAGGGGAGGCAGTAGCTAGTAAAACCCACGATATATTTTGCAATTATCGGCTGAGTACAAAATACCCATTTCCTGTGGGTAACAACAATCACTATTTTTGTGACAGGACTAATATGTTAATCGTGTGTTATTCCGACAGCTGTGTTTGCCTTTTGTTGTTCTGCGGTTCAAGGACATTTTTCAAATATCTTAAGCATTGACCAACCATTTCCCCTGTAAAATGTAACAAGCACTTTGTCACTTATACTATGTGTCATTTCTAAAAATAGACCCCTTTTGCAATCTAATTCTCAAGTAAGTGATGAGCTGATTTTGGCTTAAATCCAATATATGCTATTGCCCATTTGAAATGAAAAAGATGTTAAATGAGCTTAATATGAATACGCTTTAGAAAGTGTTGTGCGAATAATGAAAAGAACATTTACATGGTTTGGGTGTTTATAAAACGTGACTAATCAGTATGATACATCACACAAAGACAATCCCGTGTATGTTTTAAACATTCCTAACATGTAAACATATAATCATGCAGTTATTGACAATATTCATTTCATATTAACGTCTATATAGTGTGTATATTCAAATGTTTCTGATACCAAACACTGATATTCTATGTAACTAATGATGTATCTAAATAAAAGTCACTAATGAGTCTGTTTATCTGTGACTTGATGGGAAAAAATCCTTAAATATCCATTGGCAAAGCTAGTCGATTTTACGCCAAATTTGTGTGATGACCGTAAAATGTTTCTACGTAAACAAGAAGAAGTTGATTAAGTCTCAGTAACTGAATATATATTAATTAGCTCTGTCCTAAGTACATTTAAAATTATTTATCTGTCCCCCAGTTTGTTCTTCCTGGATTTCTATCTTAGTCAATTTCCATTTCAATCGGATGGCAAAGGGAAGGGGCAGTACTCACCGTTCGTCGTATCTCCTGGAGTGCGCCGTCCTCCGCCTCATCACAGCCTCGTTCTTGATGACCTTGAGTTCGTTCTCCGAATTGGACGAGGATGAGGAGGGCGGCGACCCCACGCTCGAGGTGGCCACCATCGTCGTCGTCATCATGCTGGACGTTAATTTCTTGGACGAGTTTAACTCCTTTGTGACTGCGGTTTGTGCGTCTTCCTTGGCTCGGTCGTCCCTCTCGCGGCTCCTGTCCTTGGCGCGGATGGGCTCGATCTGCCTCAGGGCCTCGGCCAGGTCATCCTTGGCCTTGATGGGCTCCACCTGCCGCAGCGCCTCGGCCAGGTCTACGCGGTGGTGCTCGGACTTGAAGGAGTCCGACTTGTGCTGCTCTTCTTTGTGACGAATGGGGTCGATTTCCCGGATGGCCTCGGCGAGGTCGCACTCCTGGCCTTGCGGGGTGTTGGCAGTGGTCAGCGTCACGTCATCTGAAAAGAGAGATTCTAAAATGAGGGACGGCCGGCGAGAAACGATAAGACACTGAGTAATGGTCATTACATCTATATCCCTAAAGTCTTTAAATGTCTAATTCACCCTCAGCAATAGTGCTCTTTCAGATGAAAAATTAACTGACCAACTATCTTTTGAAATCCTTTTAGTACCCAGAATAAGTCTTGTGCTAAACGGTTGAATTGTATTTCCCTCTGTATCCCTAAAGTCTTTAAATAACTAATTCACCCTCAGCAATAGTGCTCTTTCAGATGAAAAATTAACTGACCAACTATCTTTTGAAATCCTTTTAGTACCCAGAATAAGTCTTGTGCTAAACGTTTGACTTGTACTTTCCTCTGATACAATCTAAAATTACCCCATTTCCAACATCATCAATCTTTCTAAATAAAATCTCAAATCTAATATATCTTCTCTGATGAGCAACCTAAACCACAAATCCCTCATGACACTACGAATTAACATGACAGACACACGATAAATAACTCCAACCGCTGTACTTTGCATCAACATTATTAGTTCAACAAATAGAAATCTATAAAAGCAGATGAACTCAACAATAATAAAAAACATATTTCTAAAACGCCTTTCGAAACTCTTGTCAGTATTATCTATTACACATCATGATAAGTTCTTTACGTGGAAAGATTATGAGATTTACAGTAAGCTCACTGCCACACTTTCATCGAAAAGGAAAACACAAGCATTCATAGCAAATAGCAAGAAGTGACGCATATCTATAACCACAGTACATCATATAATAGTTTCAGCCTGCTGTGTAAGTAATCAAAACAAGATCTATCATCTGTCTATTCATTGATATACAATTTGCTATATATAAACATATATTCAAATCTATAAAGATTTAATACATAGAAAATACAACTGATCATTATAACACAGTATATTTACCTGACAAAATACGATGAAAAGTTTAAACACTCAAATTGTAATGTATATTTGTCTGGGCCAGTGTTTAATCTATATGCAAATAGTAAACTGGAATTATGTATTTATCCCATTGCTTCAAACATTTGAAACTGAAATCAAATCCAAACATAAGGTTCGTTCTGTCAGTTTACTGTAAGATAAGTGTGGAGTTTGGTATGAAAGGGGGAAATGGAGGTGGAGGGATAGGCAGACATGGCGGGAGAAATAATTGGTAGAAGTAGAAGAAATTGACGGAAGGAAAGGGAAGAGAAGGAGGGAAAGAGGGAGGCTGAGAGTAAGTTAGGGAAGGAAAAGGAAGATGGAGAGAAAGGGAGGAACGTAGAGGGGAGGGGATGGGAGGGGAGGGGAGGGATAAGGAGGGATGGAGTGAAAGGGAGGAAGGGTGAGGGAAGGGAGGGATGGAGAGGAAGGGTGAGGGAAGGGAGGGATGGAGAGAAAGCGGGAAGGGAGGAAGGGATAGGATAGAAGGGGAGGGGAGAGAAAAGAGAGAGAAGAGAG